AATTACATGGGGTGTCATTAAGGTGATTCATACCACCTTACTGTTGCCGATGGCAGCCGGTTGGACAAGCATCTCTCAAGATCCACCTTGAGGAGAATCCACACAGCCCCCAAGTCCTGCCCAGACTGATACAGGTTACAGAACAAAGAAGGCAGCCAACCGTTACATAACTGCCTTACATAATGCGGGTGGTCCTCAAGGCAGTTTGGGTAAAGCTGTAAACAAGACCATGTACAAGGCCTATGCAAACAATACAGGGCTGTCCAGAGGTGGCTGTCCTGGTGCCTTAGGCACTGCTCCAAGAGGACACTTACTCCCATGACAAGGATGGGTCTTCCTTTTTTCAGCTGTCCCTCCAATTTTGTGCCGAAATGTGTCAACTTGATTGCGTCATGATTCTCAGTAGTTTGCCAGTTATGTAACAATATAATCACCCCCCATAATGTAATATGATGTAATCTGCCAATTAGCTTTAAGGGCATTCGAATGTGATACAGCACAGGTTATAGCCTGTTCCAAAGTAAAGGGGAACAATTTCCCTGGGATGTAGCTTATACCTTTTATCTTACAAAAGATAATACAAGAGAACAAGTGATAACCAAGAAAGAAGAGCCAGGAGCAGAGCTCTGGGTTACCTACATATTTAGATTTTCAAGAAATGCCAGGCCTACTGATGTTGAGAAGAGACAAAGACCTTCTTTCACAATTGATAGAGAAAGAAAGCTAGTCCTCTGAATTTGGGCATCTGGCCTCCTAAATTGTGAGAAAATAAATTTCTCTTTGTTAAAACCATACACTTATGGTTTTTCTGTTCTAACAGCACTAGCTAGATAAGACAGAAAATGGTACCTGCAGTGGGATGCCTCTGGACTCTTACCAGTCAAGCTTTGTAGCATTTGTCTAAGCAGGACAGAGGCCAGGTCAGCCCAAGAAGGCCGAGGAGCTAACAGATGAAAGATCAAGCAGCAGAAGCTGAAGAGATAGGAAGATAGGAAACAGATCTGTCTCAGTCTAAAATGGAAGGGTAATGACCTTTACTGGAATTTCAAGGTGTGGGTCTATATCATCACAGGTATCAAAGAGTCAGATTGTCACCAACTTGGTTCCAGAGTGTGGGGCTGCTGTTGATGAGTGCCAGGGGATGAGCTGAATCAACTGTCTAAAGATGAGGGGGCGGGACTCCCTTATCCAAGAGGCTGAAGAACAGAGCCAGCCAAAGCCGAAGAGGTAGGGCTGCCACTCAGTTGGATTGTAGAATGGGGCTGTCCAAAGTTGAGGGGGCAAAACTGTCATTCCAGTGGGCCTGGAAGGTGGAGCTGAACCCTAGGGCTGAGGGGCCTTCATGTAGAATCCAGAGAGCATGGCCAACACTCAGATTCTGTAAGACAGTGCCATTGTCTAGATCTGGGGTGGGGAACCTTTGCTCTGCCAAACTTTATAACATCATTCATGGGCCATACAAGATTATCAACTTAAAAATCAGCCTGCTATAGTTGGTCAAACATTTGATTAACTCACCCCTAATGTGATGGCTGGAACTCTGTCCGGTTGCCTTGGCAGAGTCAGCCCAATTGATTTCATGGGCCTTATACGGCCCGCAGGTTGGATGTTCTCCCATCCCTGGTCTAGATGGTCTCAGAGAAGAGAGGGTAACTTTCAAACCTTGAGAGCTAATGCACATTTTTCTACTAGGTTTTTGACTTGTTTGATGCTTCTTATTCCGTCCTTCCCTCTGATGTCTCCCATTTGTAATGGAAATATCTACCTTGTGCCTGTTCTACCATTGTTCTTTGGAAGCAAATAATCTGTGTTCTAGAATTCACAGGTTCACAAATAAAGAAGAATTTTGTACCAGGATAGAATTTGGACTTAGAGTTGATTTAAGACTTTTGGGATAACACGATGGAGTGAAAATGTGGTGCATACAGCCAGGGCATGAAGTTTGGGGCACCAAAGGGTGGAATGTGATGGATTGTTCCCTCAAAGTATGTGTCAATTTGGCATTGTGGGTTAATGTGCTGGACTGCAAGGTCGACTTGAACCACAAGGTTGGTGGTTCAGGCTCACTAGTTGCTCCTCAGAAATCCTACACAGGTTCACTATGAGTCGGAACAGACTCAACGGCACTTAACAACTACAACATGGTTGTCAATGGTTCGGCAGTTATGCAATTATGTAATTTGGCAGTTATGTAATGATGTAATCATCTCCCATGATGTGATCCAATGTGATCAAATAAGCAGTTGTAAGGGGACTAGGATGGGATGCAAGACCCTCACTCAGGTCACAGCCATGGCTTCATGTACAGAGATTTTTCCTGGGGAAAGGCTTGTACCATTCTCTAACTTCCAAGAGATAAAAGGACACAAAAATGATACTAAAAGGAGGGGCCTGGGAGTGGAGCACATCCTTTGGACCTGGAGTTCCAGTGCAGAGAACCTCCTAGACCCAGGGGAAGACTGATGCTGAGACACATGTAAATCTCCAAGGAACGGGGTCCACAGATACTGAAAAGCAACAAGGACCTTACTTCAGGGGTGACATAGAAAACCTTCCCCTAGAGGGGACGCTCCAGATTTGGCCTTTTAGCCTTTGAAGCTGTGGGAGAATGCATTTATTTTTGTTGAAGTCATTCACTTGTGGGATTGATGTTCTAACAGCTTGAGAGACCTAAGACAGTAGTAGGGTTGTACCGTCAACTACAATTGCTGCCAATAAGTTGTGCGCCTGTAAAAAGCTCAATTGGCCCAAGTTGGGTGATCTCCATATTCACAGCAAAGACCAAACTAAATGAATAAGTATAAGAGCAACCGTTGAGGCTGCTTGTGTATAACCAAGCACCTCCTGGAATTGGGCTTCTTGGCTTAGAGGTTTAAAGCTATAGCTTCATGGTACATCCCAGTGAAATGGCCTAATAGCATAGTCAGTACTTTTGATCTATCTTCTAGCTCATGGCACAGTGCTTGGGATCGCAAAAACTTTCAAGCAGCCATCCAAGGCATAATCATTGATCTTCATTCACCTAGAGCAACAGAGAAGGAAAGAGAGACAGGCACGTAAGAGGGAAATGAAATGTGTGGCTGTTTCCATGAATAACTGCCATTTTGGCCATGAACTCAATGGTTTCCAGCTACCATTCCTGAGTATTTTGACCAAAGATTTTATAAAAGAATTCTGATCAAAAGGGGGGAAGTGTAGAATTTAAAACTCTCATGGACTTCAGACTTTCTTTTCACTACAGAGTAGTAAGCGAGCACAAGTAAGTCCGTGCATACCTTGCTTACTGCGTACTCTGTCCTTGTCAGGGGTTGTAAGTTTGAAAAGAGACTGATTCTGTAGCAGGTGCCATGGGATTTGGAGAGGGACAGATGCCAGCCAGACCTACAAATAGAACCTTTGATGTGGTGAAAAAAAATGTGCAAATTTTCACCACAGATGAGTAAGTACGTACAAATAAGGCCACAATTACCTTGCTTATTGGGAAATCTGACACTTTGAAGAACTGCTACAAATTGATAAGAAAAGGCAAACAAGCCAATATGAAAATGGAAAAAGGATACAAACAGGCAACTTACAGAAAGGGGAATTCAAATGGCTAATGAGCAATGGAAAGATGAAAATGGAATGAGATACCATTTTTCACCCCTCAGAGCAAAAAAACCTAACTGCAACAATGGAGGGAAATACACATTTTCATACATTGTGTGCTGCAAAGTAAGTCCTAGTGTGGCATTGCAGGATAATGTACTGGCCCACAAGGTTAGTTTGAAGCACAAGGTCTGTGGTTCAAAGCCACCAGGAGCTCCTTGGAAACCCTATACAGGGTCGCTATGAGTTGTAACTGACTTGATGGCACTTAGCAACAGCAACGATTAAAATAATAGAGTCCCTACGTGATACAAATGGTTAAGTGTTCAGTTACTAGCCAAAAGGTTGGTGGTTCAAAGCCATCCAATGGTGTCTCAAAAGAAAGATCTAGTGATATACATCTGTAAGATCACAGCCAAGGAAATGCAATCCTACTCTGACCTACCTGGCATTGCCATGGCAACTGGTTTGGTTATTAAGAGAATGTTAAAAAAAAAAATGTATCAACTTAAAACAAAGGAGTGTTCATGGTCTTTTATTCATTAGAACAACCAAGTTACAAAATATTATATGCCTTTTGGTGCTGAAGTGTCTGTATTTTGAACCGGAGTAAGCAGAGAAGCAGGAGACACACTGTCAAATCATCATTGGCTATTACTTCGGAGACACACTACCAAATCATCATTGATTATGACTTCAGGAGACACACTACCAAATCATCACGGGTTATTATTTCAGTGGGGTGAGTTAGGGAATGGTGGAGAAAAAAACAAAAAACCACTTATGTTTTCTTTATATATGTTGTTGATGGTATGTCCTGGAGTCAGTTCCAACTCATAGAGATCCTCTATAGGGTTTCTGAGGCTGTAAATCTTTACAGAAGCAGAAAGCTATCTATAGTTTTTCAAACTGTTGATCTTGAGGTTAGCAGCCCGACTCATAACCACTTCGCTACCAGAGCTCCTTTATATATATACCTATTGTGATTCATGTATCCAATAAGCCCATTTGACTTTTGTAATTAAGAGAACAGTGAAGCACAAGGACAATGAACGTGTTGCTGTGCAGACTCTGAGACCATGTTACTACTTGGGAAATAACTGAATGAACTAGAAATGTTTGGTCTGGTAAAACCAAAACTCCAGAGGAATTCAAGACATTTATCATGGCAAGGTTTCAAAGGAACTAGACTCACTCTTCTTTTCTGAGACAAAAGTAGAAGCCGTGTATATAAGGCCCAAAGAGCATTTCACCTTAGCACTTTGAATGGTGCACTACAAGGTCAACATGTCTGTAGGTGGAAGGTGCAGCCACCCCCTAACCACATCCATCTTTGTGTCACCCCAACACCATTACAGGTGAGGGCAAAGGTCATGATTAACCCTAGGCTTAGTCTCTTGGCTGGCGAGTACCTTGGGCAATGTCGTCCTGTCTCTGGGGGCAAGGTCGCTCCACTTTGTGCCCGGGTGGTGGTGGGTTCCGCTCCAGCTGTTTGGGACACCTTCCCTCATTGAACACATGTGGCAGGTTGGTGGTGTGCACCTGTCGGAGCTGCTCATAGTCACTCAGAGCAGCTGTCAGGTCCCAATTTTTGCCTGTGGACAAGAAGGGACAAGAGATGACAATATTAATGAATTAACAATGGCCTCCATGCAGAACATTACAGTGTAAAAAGGGTTTCTCATTAGCAAAGAGTTTCTCCCTCCCAGTTCCTCTTGCTTTTTAGAAGCGAAATGACCAGACCCACAATCTCTTTAATTACAGTTTCACAACTATGACTGATACCATGTGTGATTATACCTAGTCCCAGAGCTTTAGATCAACCAAGACTTTGGTCACAAAAAGTGTTGTTGGGTTTCTAAAAACTGGGCGCACTCTCTGCTTTTCTGAGGCAAAGCTAGGAGCCATGAGTGTAGGCTGCAGAGAACACTCAGCTTTAGGACTGTGGATGGTACACAAAGAGGCCAAGGTGTCCATCTGTGTACCATGCACCCCCCTCACACACACACATGCTTATACACATATGCATATACACATGTATGCATATGCATGTACCCACATATGAACACATACATGCTACTAGAATCTAAAACAGTACAACCCCAATATCTTACTACTCACTGAAAACCAAGCTGTACAGCTTACTCTCAGAGGAAAGCAAAACAATGTAAAAAATGAATAAACAGAATGTCTAAGAGTTATTTGATCTTTTGTTCCAAGTTCTTTTTCCATTTATACTTAATATGGGGAAACCAGAAGCCCTGAGGGAGCCTGTTGTTTGGAGAGTGTTGACAGGAAGTCAGTTTTGAAGCCCAGGCTCTGTAAATGGAGAGAGATGTTAGACAGGGCCAGTGAGGCCTCGGGGAGCAACCATGGGCAGCCACACTGTGCATTGGGACAGACTGTGTCATCAGGGAAGCTATTCTTTTGGGGGAAGGAATGTGACACTGGGGTTTTGGCTCCTTCTGACTCCAGGAAGAATGAAAACTATATATCACACACTCCATCTGACTCATGAATTTTTTTTAAGTCAAAAAAATTAAAAGATTAATTGACTAAGTTACATTCAAAATGATTCTGGTGCCCGGTAGGATGAGGTTTTACATGTATAAAACTATAGCTGAACATCTTCCTTTCATGGTTTTATTTAAAAAAAAATTTTTTTCTTGTGAATTGGGTGAAGGTTTAGAGAGTTCAGTTTTCCATTCAACAATTCATGTTGTTGACTGCAATCCCTACAAATTAACACCATTTATCCCATTTCCTCTTATGTTTCCTGTTTCTATGACTCCTTCTTCCCTAAAACTTCTGAACTTTGTCCTTGAGTAAAATGCTGTCCTTTTAATTATTCTAAGGAGTGAGTACCTTCCTAGTATTACTGTTTCCCTTACAGACCTGTCTATTGTTTGATTGAAAATGGAACCAGGAAGGTCAATTCATTTCCAGATCTTAGGGATGGCGAAGACCATTGTTTCAGGGGTTCCACCAGTTTCTGTCTGACAAGTAAGCCTTGTCTTTTGTGAAGACTGCCAAGAGCAGAACTGAGCAGAAACAACCACAGGCCCATGATGCAGTGCAACAGAGCCTTCAGCTGATTGGATGAGCGCACCGGGGCTAGGAAAGTCTTTCAGAGGTGCCTCAGATCATAGCGGAGGCCAGGCCTTTGTACCCAGACATAAAGTTGATGAGCATTTTCCACAGGGAAGAGGTGTGGTTGCGGGTGAGGTCCTTCCTTCACTGGGGACAGTCTTGAAGAAGGACTCAACTGTGGGCCATAGCAGGCATCACTTCCCACTTGGGTCTGACTGAAGGTGTCTAGACACTAGAGCAGATGTTACAATCTATTTTTTTTTCCTATGTAGGTGGCTGTATGTGTGTGTGCACATGTGTGTGAGTGCTTGGATTCATGTTCTGCCCAGAAACCAAGAAGGAAAAAGAAAGCTACCCAAATGATGTCTGGACAAATGACAGGAATGGAAGAGTCATTTATGGTATACGCCAGCTGACGTAAAGTCATGACGTGGCTGCTACAGAGAGCTCTCCAGTACATACATACTATTGAGTGAAACAAGCAAGGTACACAATATTTATAATGTTTTCTTTTCAGATAGAAATAGATATATGTGTGCGTGCTCACACTTGCTTGAATCTGCACATCTGAACGATACAAATGCTACCAGTGTGGATAAGAAGCTTACCCAAGTGGTTAACCACGAGTCAGGGAGGAGTTGGGGAGAGTGGAGGAAAGAAGGGGTTGCCAGAGCTTCAGTGTGCACTTCTTATGAGTTTTGAAATATTTGAATGAATTAGCTATCTAAAACAAATAGTTTACAGTCTTAAAAAAAAAAAAAAAAAGATTTAAAATGTATTAGGGTAGGAAGTTTTCCATAATATTCAAATCACCATGTTTTCAGAAACAGAAGAGCCTATCACATATACTTTTTCAGGCAAAAATTTTAAATTTCCTGGCTATTAAATACAGACAGAAATAGAAAGAAACAATGGAAAGAACGGATCCTCTATATTAGTTTATCTTTATAAGGTCAGTTTAAATTAGCTCAGCATTGAGATGTGAAGGACATTAGCATAAAGGTTATTGAAACTAATCTTCCAACAGGCCATAGTTCACTAGATGCCTGCCCACTTAAAATTGGAATTATAGTATGAATATTTTATTTAAGGAACTTTTGATGCAGAAAAACATTGTAAAATGTATTATCTTCTATCCTACTGTCAGCTCTAGAGGTTCATATATTCAATCAGCTTAAACCAATGTTGAAGGACAAGAGCTAATACATTAGTGCCCTTTCACTCTTGTACCTGCTACAGATTGGTTCTTGTGAGCATCATTCTTAGAAATAGCTCTTTCTAAATTACTAATGGCTTCAAGGCATATAAATCCAAGATAACTTCTCTGTCCTCATTCAATATATCTTACCTCTCCCTCCTTCTTAATTCACTCCAATACTTTTTCTAAAACCCTTGTTGTTGCTGTTAACTGCTGTGGAGTCAGTTCCGACTCAGAGCGACCCTATGCAGGGTTTCCAAGGAGCAGCTGGTGAGCTTGAACTGCTGACCTTGCAGTCTAAACCGACCTTGTAGTCCAGTGTATTAACCCACAGCACCACACCAGGAATCCTCTAAGACCCTTGTTGTTGTTAGGTGCCATTGAGTTGGTACCAACTCATAGCAACTCTAAGACCCTACACTCTCCTAATTATCCTCTGCTATTGATGACTGTTTCATTCCTCTCCTGGTGTCTCTGCCCTTCAGTAGGTATTGGCATTCATCAGTGTTCAGATCTGTGCCTAACTCAGCTGGGTGCCTTTTGGGATAAATTTTTATTTCTGTATTAAAGGAATGCAGACTGAAGAGGAGAGCAGTCTTGTACTGTTGCTATACCCTGTTCTTTCTTACTTGAATGCAGATTTGGTGCCTAAAACTGTGGTAATCGTCCTGCAATCATGAGGCAACAAATATAAGTATGAAAAGGCCAACAGTTAAGAATAATTGACAAGATGGGGTTTAAAAAAAAAAGGTTTAAAAATAGTCTGTTCTGCCAACAACTAACTTCCCTGCCTTTCTGTCAAAACAACAACAACAACAAAAAATAGTGGCATTGTGTAATCCATTGTTACAGGAGTTTTCTACCCACTCCTACCTGTGTAGGGAAAAAAGACGGGAGGAACAGTGAGTCTAAGGCCTGAGGATCTGCAGGAGGCTAAGGCCTGAGAAGGCACCTAGGAATGGGATCTAAATTGGACATGTGAAGGGCTCTCTCTGGAGGAAGTATTAAAGTTGAGAGTTCAAAATAAGAATCTAAGTTACCCTGGTAAAAAATACAAGGGAAGGGCAAGCAGGGAGAGGTGTGTTTCTGGGAGCGAGGACAACAAATGTACAGACCTGAAAGTGACACAGTGCAGCATATTCAAGGCATTGGAGATATTGACATCTGGGTGACATTTAGAGTAGGAATGGAGAGACTAGGGGATGGAAGGATGGAGGAGAAGTCAGGAGTAGTGATGGGGTCAAGTCAGCCATGGGACGAGGACTTCATCTCCTGTCACTTTATATCATGTCTCATGGTGGCGGTGGTAGTGATTATATGCCATGGAGTCGGTACAGGGTTTCCAAGGCTGTAAATCTCTACAGGGGCAGAAAGACTTATCTTTCTCCTATGGAACGGCTGGTAGTTTCGAACTGCTGACCTTGAGGTTAGCAAGCCGACTCACAACTACTATGCTGAGTGGGAATTAACTAGATTTTTATTTTAGAAAGCTAAAATATTTGCATTTAAGGAGAATTACTCTGGCTGAATAGTAGAGACTGCATTATAAATGGACAAAACTGAAGGCTGAAAGAATATTAGGAGGTGACTTAAGGAGGTAACACCTCAAATTTAAGATCGATTTTCTTTTGAGGCACCCTGGCAGATTCTATACTCTGTATACCGCTTGGGTCTTATTATAATAGTCTGTTCTCCTGTCATTTTCCCTGACATTAATTAGGAATGTGCTGGACTTCAAGTAACAGAAAACTTATAACACATGCAGATACCTATTTTAAACACTGGAATGCTAACCACAAGGTAAGCGACTCTTCAGAAACCTATACAGGGTCACTGAGTTGGAACCGACTCAACAGCACATAACGACAATGATTTATTTATCTGTATATCCACAGGAAGATAAGACTGTTGACAGTAATTCACCCAGGCTCATCTTCAGATTATTATTTTTTTCCCATTAGTTGTTTTTAGCTGTGGGTTGCTGCATCATGCAAGTTTACCCAAAATTTCACTAGTTCTCACATGAACATGGTAGGACACTGAGCAGAAAAGATGGGGCTCTAAAAGATGGATGGGACCCTGGCTACAGTTGGATGGACTCTGATGGATCTGAGGGTCTTAAATCCCACCTCCTGGAAGCCTAATGGGCAAACAGAGGAATCCCTGACGCCCCACCACAACGTAGGTTTGACTCAGTCTGAAGACTCGACAATGACTCTATCTGAGCATGTTTCACATGGAGGTACTCAGTTCACCTTCAAACCTTACTCTTTATTTTCAGACTCATAATTAGGAAGATGACTGGAG